TTGGGTCCAGGCTGCGGGCATGGAGTTCTCTTGCCCCAGCCACCGCCTCCGTTGTTCCAGCCGCCTCCGTTGTTCCAGCCGCCGCCGCCGTTCCACTTGCCGCCGCCATTCCACTTGCCGCCGCCGTTGATTTGCCAGCCGCCGCCCGAGTTCCAGCCGCCACCGCCTGAGTTCCAGCCGCCACCGCCGCGGCCGCCCTTGTCGCAGTCGTCGGGTCTCTTGAAGGTCATGGCATCCGCTGGTGCCTCTTGAGCCGCAAGCGCGACAGCCGCAAGCGCAAAGATACTGGATAGGTAGATGGCCACCATCGAGGAAATTGAAAAGTGAGTTGTCTTGTCCTGGACAACCCTCGGGCCCCAGGAAGCCTTTTTCGATCTTGCTGGATCTATCGTTCGGACACGGGATCTAGGGTTAGGGCTGGATATACTCAAATACAATAAATAGACACGGTTTCTCCGTTAAACATATGTCGAAGCGTCCATCCAGAATCTACTAATAATACCATACACCAGACCATACACTGTACTCTCCCGCGTCTCCGACCGTGCCGCCACGAGAGGCGGCACAGACTTCCGATGACTCACCATTTGCTCTCTCTCGGCGCTTGCATGCAGAAGTGTTTCGTGTTAAGGTTTACACCAGAAAGAACGATCGGTCCAATCGCTGGAATCGCGTTAAACGACTTCGGCGTCTTCCTCGGCCTGGAGCTCCTTGGCCATGCGTTTCCTACCAGCATCCATATAGTCCACGTCGTCCGGCGAGTTCAATCCCCACGTACCGCATGGTTTTTTCCATCTTTTCTTCGACCGACGGACCCGTCTTGCGCTGCAGCAGCGGAATGTGCTTGAGCCCTTTGCCCGCCGGCGGCAGCGACGGCCAGACGCTGCCAAACGGGAGGAGGTCGTCGGACGACGCAGCCGGCACCTTGGCCTCCACTTGTTCCGGGCTCAGGTGCTTGAGACGCTTCTGGACCTCCTCGAGCGCGTGCGGCCGCGAAACGCTAAGCGATTTGATCGTCTCGAGCTCGTTCTTGAGCATCGCCGTGCGAAGGCTCGCAGCCTCCCACTGCTCTTCAATATCGCAGTAGACACGGTTGAGCACACCGGGCGTAAAGCTAGTGCGTACAATGAGGACGTCATCTAAAGTGGTCAAGATTGTCGTACGTCATGTGCATTAGGTCGTATTTGCAGTCGTGCAAGACCAGTGGGAGCTCCGAGGCCATTTCATACTATAGACATATACGTACAATGCACATGCACAGTATACCTCTACCTGGGGCTTGCGGGGTGTGGCGTCAATATCGAGGAGCGTTGTGACAATCGACGGCGCTTCAAGCCCGCGGCCGACGAGAAACAAGACCGCTGCCATGCACCGGACTTGATGCCACAAGAAGGCCTTGCCGTGGATCTATCCAATCGAATATCCAAGATCAAGACAATGCCCCCATATATGGATCGTATGGATCGTTTGGCTACCTCGAGGTAGCAGAGCTGGTAGTAGTCATCGCCACTCGCGTCCACGGGCTCGGCTTCGTGGATCTTGAACGACGAGATCGACCGTTTGAACGCGAGGACGTTAGGGTCCATGCGGCAAAAGTTGCGGTGGTCCATGTCGACGCCTTGAAGAAGCGACGCCGCTTCCCGCATGCGCTACAGTCGCGTGATGGTACTGCTACGCCTCCTGCATAGCACCAAGCAATTTTTTACCGTCAAGTCCATCCGGCGCCGATGGAAGAAGTACTTGTACACGCGGCCGATGCAGTCGAAGCGTGCGCTCCACTCGGCCCGCGGCGCCGGCGCCCAGCCGTAGATGCGAATGTCCTAGGCAGAGATGCGGTCGTCGCAACGTTGGCGCGCGAGGGTACCGCTGGCAGCGCCGAGTTCAGCGAGACTGGGTAGTCGAGCTCCGTCAGCGTCTTGATGGTACCGTCCGGGAGCTGGATGCGGAACGGTTCGTTCGGAAGGATGTCGTCGATCGTCTTGTCGTCGAGGAGGACGGCGTCCGTCGGGACATTCGACCGCACGATGAGACCGACGACTTGACCAAGGGCGCTATGGCGCGCAGCGGTAACGACGAATGTGGCGTGGAGCGAGACTACCTAACGCCCGCGTCGGTGCGGCCACATCGCGAGTAGCCGCACTTGTTGAAGTCTTCAATGAGCCGCGCACGGTACAGCGCGTCGATGAGGTAGCGCTCGATCGTGTGCTACGTTGATGATGCTGAGGATACGAGGCAGACAAGAAGGACTACCTCCATGTGGTCTTGGCGCGCAAAGCCAGCGTACTTTTCGCCCGCATACGAGAACTTGAGCGCGATATGGCGGGTGCGGAAGCGGCTGTAGTCAAAGGGCTTGGGCGGCTTTTGGTTGTACGCGAGCTTCTTCTGCTTCTTGGTCAACGGCTCGCCACTGCGCACGGCCCGCGCGACCGTGTCGACGGCGTGCGCGAGCTTCTCGGGCGACTCGCGCAGCTTGCGCACCACCTGTAGCAGCTCGTCCTTGGTGAACTCTTCGTAAACCACCGGCGTCATGCTCGCCTCGTAGTGTCCAATTGTACTGGTATGACCTTGACGCGCGACAACCATTGGTCATCCGGATAACGACCGCATGGGACTAAACGCACCCCTCTTTAGCCGGTGGCAGAGACCACATACAAGCGAGCGGCAGAGAGACCGGCGCCGTCCTTTTCTATCGTGTCCCTTTGTGCACTGCTTTGAATCGCTGTGTGTTTGCTTGTAGTCGTCCTGCACTGTACTTCAAACGATTTTCTAGTACAAAATCGGTTCCAGTCAGTGCGCCCTGGTGGCACGAGTTACACAGTCCAGTTTTGGTGGCGGCAGCGGTCCGAGAATCGCGGTTGGGACGATGATCGTCGCGTCGGCATTAAGGACGACACATCCACAAAGGTATCATCGGTTAGCTACTCGAGAGCTAGAGCTGCACGCTCGATCGGTCGCTCATTCCCTAATAGTCTAGGCGGTTAGGAGATGGCCTACACGATCGGTCGCTCATGGATTTGATCACAATGTCCCCGTCTGCTGGCAACGAATGAAAGGAACGTCCACGGAAACGACTGTACCTGCGCTGAGAGAACTTGAGTCCTGGTCTCTCGAGGGGAGCCGCTGTCTTCTACACCAAACGCGTCTTCTCCCTGTAGGAACGTGCTGAACGTGCTGAAGCCGGTGCAGATGACAAGCAAGGACCTATGACGAACCCATAATTTTTTCGCTTTTTGAATCCATCAAAGCAATCCCAATTGCTTTCTGGAGCGACGGGGCCTCACACGTGTGCACCGAGACGAGCCCATACGTCAAGACGACACCCCACCTCGTCCATGCATGCAACGACGCCGACAACAACGTGCAAGCCAACGAATGACGGTCTCTATTCGCCTTCCAATTAGTTGACAAAAATCGCTACAATGCCTGCGCTTCGTTTGAGTCGACTTCGTGGACGCCGTCGCCGCTGAACCAAGTGCTATGCCCACCACTCAGACGCATCGTTGCTGGCGTTGATGTCGAAAAAAGCTGATTGGCGTTGCGGCGGCTTGCGATGTAGGCTCGTGGGCATCGCCGAGCGTGCGGTTATCGGTCCCGGACCGAATGAGCTCCTCGTTGAAGGGCAGCCCATGGAGCGCCTCGAACTGGCGTTGCTGAGCTTCTGGCGAAATATCGAGTCGACTAACCTGCACAGTGAGTGGACAGCTCATGGATAGCGGCGGGCGGCAATGCGCTCGCGGAGGCGTTGATGCACGCGAAGGCATTGACTAGTGCCAAACCGAGTTTGCTGACGAGGAGGCAGGGAAGGTCGGTCCCCCTGCCCCTTTTCTGCCACCCTTTTCTCCCTCCATTCCTAGGCGCACTCGCATTCCGAACAAAAAATATTATCAACTACCGGGTTTGAACCGGTGACCTTCTCGGTGTAAACGAGACGTGATAACCACTACACCAAGCTGATGATATATATCATACGGAAATATCTGCCTATTGTAAGATGTTTACTGTAAAAGGAAAGCAATGAGCGATTGATCTGGTACGACTCGTATTGGAGTTGACCTTTACGTAATTCATAATTGCGATGAATCACCTTTCCACTCCATTCAAATCCGCATGAAAGACGCCATCCCGTCATGCAATCCAGTGGGCTCTCGAGCTATCGAGGCCAAACCATGTTTTCTATTGGTTTTAAACGCGTGTTTTTAAACACATGGATTGACACCCAATAAAACGCCAACGGGACTGGCAATTCTCCAGATCGGTTGGCATGGCCACAGCAACGTACGAAGCGGGCGCGGGCGCCGTGACGGTGGCCTCGGACGGCGACCATGACGCATGGCTGGCCGCTGGCCGGTATGGCGCCGTCGACGGTGCCACGCGCTGGCTCTCGCTCGAAGAGAGCGTGTACCTTGCAGCGCTCGGGCGCATCGCCTTTGCCTCGATGGCGCTGCCCGCCGCCTACGCGTGCTTTGTCGCGTACGAAGGCATCGACTCGATGGACGCCAGCGCTGATGGAACATGGCTGCGTAGGCGCGACGCAGATTTTCCAGCGCGTTACGCCGTGTACCACCACTACCGTTCGA